TATCAAACTCAAATGGGTCATTTAATGCCGACAACTTTTTTTTCCTGGTAATATTTTGTTTTGTCAAAAATCTATTTCTGGCAATATTTTTTTTCTTCAAAAACTTATTTCTGATAATAATATTTTTACAAAGTATTTCTAGTATTAAAACCTATTTTTATACTTTTACAATGCTTTTTACCTCAGTTTATGGGGTTAACTATTTGCCCATAGCTGGGACCCTAACAAGTGCTACCACCCCGGGTCAGAGTGGATCTGGGAACACCAGCAATTAAGAGGTGGTTCCACGCTCCTCAGAACCTCCTGATCAGAGGTCTTGCTGTTGGACATAGTTTATCGTCTTACCCTGGACGCGGATTTAGTTTATCGTCATACTCAGGAGAGAAAAACGGTAATGAATCTAATAATGCGAAACTTAAGAAAGCTATGACAAAATTAAGAAATAATAAAGCACCATTTACCATTGAAAATACCTTACTTTCTAAAGCCAATAACAAGTTCATCAGAAACGCATCACCAAAATGGCGTTTATCATACAATAATGTCCAATCATTATCATGCAATAATGTCCAATCATTATCATACAATAATGTACAATCATTATCATACAATAATGTACAATCATTATCATACAATAATGTACCATGGGAACAAAAAGGTAATCTTCAAGGCATCCATACATACCGAGATATCTGTATTGGATCAATTATGGTGAAAATATTAATTAAATATTATTGTATGAACGAGGCTGTCATCGTTTTATGAAAGTCAATAACTCTTAAATCTGTTTGGATTTATTTCTGTTAAAGCATCTAATGATGGTATATACAGGATGTTCGGGCTAACTTTAACAGTACTTTTTAATGAAAAACAAAATAAACATCAAAGACAAAAATCAATTTATTGGTAAAATAGACAAGTGGAATATAGGTTATAATAACTAAAAGACAATTTACTTAAACAAGCTAAACTTATCATTTACCATAGCCTCGATCTGACTCTGGAATCTGGCACAGACTACCTTCAGTGTGTCCATAGGGAGAGCCTCAAAAACCTCTTTAATCTTGTCATTCACCTACGCCTTGGTGTTACAGGCAGTGCAGTTTGTGTTTTTCTCAACCGCATTCCAAACATAATAATTGATGGGATAACAGTCAGTCGGAGTGGAGACATTGCGGATTGTGATGTCGTAAATATTATCTGAAACCACTTCTGACATTTCTGGGAGTTGTGGTATGGAGCTGGTTCTTGCTGCCACCCTCTCCAAACAAGGCTTGACCACGATGTTCAGTTACTCCATATGACCAGACAAATTGGGCCGGAGACCCTGTTCAAAGATGTGAGGTAGCATGACATCATTCTCACTGGAAACACACCCCAAAACCATAATGGTTGGTTCTGGATTTTCAGAAAGCCATTTGTTGTTCTGTGTGCTGTGCAGCTGTCCCTGACAAAATTATTTTCATCAAAGTAGAATTAGATTGACCCTGCTTGAAAAAGAAGTTTCACCTTGTTCAAGAGATTCTTTGCCTTTGTCAAATGGTTTTCGCGAGGGTTTCTGTAAGAAGTTGATCTTTACATCTCTTGCCCGTCTAGTAGGGGAGGTCCACATCTAAGACCAGCTTCCTGGAGGAACAACAATTTTTCGCGACGAAGTTTGCATTCCCTTGCATCACTTTCTCCTGCAGTTGTTGGTTGAATAATGGTGTACGGATGCAATCGGAATGTCTTCTGTGTTCTTTCCTGCAAACCACAAGTCCCAATTGCAGCTATCTATTTCACCTCTTATTGTTTTCACTGTGTTCAAAGAGCATTGAGCAGCTATCCTGATTTCTGCATTTTGATGCCTCGTACGAATCATGATAATGCAGGTTACACATTTTACAATATTTAGGTGGTTTCCACTCCTTAAAGTCAGTTAACTTTGACACCTATAAAACTGTAGAAACTAGGGAACACAATGCGGTTTATTGTTGTGATATTCCAACCCAACTGCAAAAAAATAGAAACATTAGATTCTGTCAAATCTAGCCAAAACACTTTAAGAAGAGCACTAGTCCACGTACAATAACTATCTATAGGCAACATCGAGCCTGGCTAGTACCTAGATGGGTAGCAACTTGAGAATACCAAATGCTGTAAGGTGGGATTTGTGGGCGGGGTAATATATAATGGCTCACAATTGTTAATCGGAGAGTCGAGTTCCAATTACAGTTACACAGAAATACCATTGGGAAAGTTATGAATCCACGTATTCTCCCCCCAGATATGGATTAATTAGAAAGACTTGCATCACTAAATTATCATTATCTCAAAAACATTATTATAATCTAAAAATATTTTCTGGCTTTAAATATCATGCAAAGAGTTGATAAGCTGTAAAATAAATAATCAATCACTTAATTAAATACTGAAGGAAGTTAATTTTTTTCTTGTATGACTGATAACTGAGGTCCTCATTCAAGACCAGGTTCATGGTGGAAATTTCAACACCCATTTCACGTGCCAAAACCCACATTCCCTTGCCTGGGTCTTCCATCACTTTCTCTTTCAGTTGTTGGATGAAAACGAATGTGTGCACTGTTCCATCCTACAAGTCATAGCTCGGTAGTCTCAGTTGCAGCTGTCTATTTCAGGATTAATTGTTTTCACTGTGTTCAAAGAGTTTTCAGCAGCTGTCATGATTTTTGCATTTTGATGCGCAGCACGAATTATTTATATGCATTAAGTAGTCGTAGGTGGAGGAAAAGGGAGGGAAAACGAAAAAATGGGGAGGGAAAAGAAATAAAGCGGCTATGGGAAGAGGATGAAATGATAAGCGCTACGAGGAGATAATATTTGGCCATAGAATTTCGTTAGGATGTAGAATTTCATCTGCAAAGTGTGGTTATTTGTTTCGATAACTGTATTTCTGAAAAAAATTTTTAGTAACACCATAATTTCCCACCTGATGAGACGTCTAAAAAAGGTTTTTTACCTTTTTTGACCTTGAAATAAAAATATATAATTTTGTAGTCGATATGTGCATGTTCTAATGTAACACTGCATAAGATAAATAAATATTTAAGGCTCTACTTTTTCTATTGAGTGTAGTGAAAGAGATAATCAGGTACCCCGAAAAAAGTTCGTGTTTTGTGTGCGATCTGCCGAAGAAAAATTACCAAAAAGTAGTTAGCAAAAATCTACTTTAAAGACCAGAACCTATGCTAATGTTCTTCCCTCCCCTGAATGGCGTGACCAATCAGAAAATTCTCTTGGTGAACAGAAGTCGTTGTTTTTCGCTTATATAAAGGAGATGATTTTTTGAGCTGTGGGACGAACACGCGTTGTTGGTGTCGAGAAGTGTAGGTTGGATTTGTGACCCCCATTTTGTCGTCTCTATGGTGTGTGTTGAACTGTTACGTCGGACTTATCGTGTGAACTGCGATTTGGCTACAAGTGTTGCGGCCGAGAAACAGAAGAAATCTATTGCTGTTGCTACGATCAGTTGACAGTCTTTACTACAACATTGAGCACTATTTTTAAATCAATGTTTTGAACGCTGTAATCCTACTGTTCGTTCTCCTACACTTTGAGATATATATATATATATATATATATATATATATATATATATATGGTGAGGAGGTGGGTTTGTAAACAGTGACTTTTATAGCTATATAGCGAGACTCTTCGCAAAAGCGAATTGAATCACTGTCGGTCACTGGGCGTGTTTCTATCCACACTGATGAGCTGCGAAACAGTCTGTCTGTGGATGACGTTATATATATATATATATATATATATATATATATATATATATATATATATAAGTTTTTAATATATCCGTGTAACATATATAGGAAAAATAAGCTCCACTCAAGCTTCCCCAATGACAACGATCTTAAGTCTAGGGTGAACCGTTATCTATCCTACATATCCTCATCATATACCCTCTTGCTCCCTCCTTGTACGCCCTTAAAACAAACTTCATGTTGGAAGTTGAAAAATAGTATAGAAAAAGACGTTTATTTTGACTGTCATTGACTGTCCAAAGCCAACATCCACCCACACTGGAAATTATGGCTACGCCACCTGTATTAGGAGCATGTCATAAGCTAAGTCTGACACAAGGCTTTAAATTTGGGAAGTGAACTCGGCAATTATGATCACTTTGTTATCGAGGACGCAAAGTACCTAAAATTCTGCAGATGGATTCAAATGTTTTACATTACTAATGATCATCACTTCTGAACGGTTTACAATTTCCTGATGCCAAGGAAACATCTGCTTGATTTAATGCAACTTAAAGAGCGTTCTACAAGGGTTAATTAAAGGCCTTATCGTGTTTAGAGATTCAACCAGAAACAAGTTCACACAACTGAAAGAAATTTAATTTGGTCGAATACGTTTATTCTTCTCGTCCGAGCGATAGGTGATATGTTCATAGAAATCAAAATTAAATATTAATCTTTGCAGTTTTTTAAGGGTTTTTTTTTTTTTTTTTTTTTTTTCGGTCTATTTCCGGTGATCATATGGCGTCATGGCGTCTTACATCGCACTTATCAATCATTTTAAAGGAGTTCTACAAAATATTTTTGGAGACCAAAATCCAAAATTAATTTAATTGAAATACGTTTTTCTCGTTTTTCTTTGTTCATTTATTTCGATTTTGTATCTGCCATCTTTCCCGGAAAGGAAGATCGACCATTTTCTTTTAGTTCCAGCAACTAAAATTTTCTAGAAATATCACGGTCAACAAGATAAAATAGTATTAAAATCGAGTAGAATCTGAGATAATATATTGGTTGGTTGTGTTTTTTTTTTTGTTTAGCGGCATATCAACACACCACCCATATATACAAACTTCTTTTAGTTCCAGCAACTAAAATTTTCTAGAAATATCACGGTCAACAAGATAAAATAGTATTAAAATCGAGTAGAATCTGAAATAATATATTGGTTGGTTGTGTTTTTTTTTTGTTTAGCGGCATATCAACACACCACCCATATATACAAACTTACAGCACCTTGTATTCCCAAGCGATCACCCATCTAGGTATTGACCAAGATCGATGTTGCTTAACTTCGCTGATCATACGAGAACCAGGCTTTTATGGTGATGTGGCTGTAAGCCCTATGTTTTTTAAACGAAACATTTCCCTGTTTGCAAAAACATATGTTATAGAGAAACAACTTTATCTTTCTTATAGAAAATCGAAATCAATGCTATAGAGTTCGAAATCTGGTGTATTTGATTCTAATTACCAAGCTATTCTCCTGAAAAAAAGATTTAATCGACCATGATTGATCATTTTATCTGAGAAAAATATTCTTCCAATAAAGACAATAGCCAGAAAATGTTCTACAGAACATTGGTATATGTTTATAATTTAGTATTAACGACTATTCTATACTAGAATTATCTGTTAACTCCTCCGTCCTGGATAAAACAGTAAGCTACATCTGTGTCCTGGGTAAGATGATAAACTACATCCGCGTCCTGGGTAAGACGATAAAATATATCCGACAGCAAGACCTTTGATCAGGAGGTTGTGAGGAGGATTGGACCACCTCTTAATTGCTGGTATTCCCAGGTCCACTCTGACATGGGGTGGTAGCACCTGTTAGGGTCCCAACTGTGGTCAAATAATTAACCCCCAAACCCGTCCGCGTGACGGGTAAGACGTTAAATTACATCCCGCGTTCTAGGTAAGACGACAAACTACACCCAGCAGTAAGGCCTCTGTTTAGGAGGTTTTGAGAAGCGTGGAACCACCTCTTAATTGTTGGTGTGTCCACTCTGAGCTGGGGTGTTAGCACCTGTTAGGCTCCCAGCTATGGGCAATATTTAACCCCCCGCCAAACTCGGATCAAAGCTCTGTGAGAGTGTAAAAATAGGTTTTAATACCAGCAATAAATGTTTTGAGGAGAAATTATTATCTTTTTGAAGAAAAAATATTACCAGCAAAGCATTTTTGGAAAAATATTACCAACAATAAAAAACTTGTCGGCATTAAATAACCCAGTGTGGTTGACATGCCGTAAAACAAAACAAACCAAATTAAAGCTGTTAAATCCGTAATCCTAAAAAGTAAACTCTTGAAACTAATTCTATTAAATTTTAATTTCCATATTAAGACATATGTAAATATTTTTTTTTTCTTTTTAATCATTTCGCCACGAGAAAGCCACGTCAACACAACGGAGTATAAAGTGTGAACGAATATAAAAAAAAAGAAAAACATTATCAAAGAAAAAGAACAATAAAAGAAGAGGAAACAGAGATAACGATTGACATTGCATTTAAATTTTTGAAGATCAATTTTAGATGGAAAAAAGAAGCCGGAACAGAGTTCTACGGGTGAGTAGTGCGAGAAAGTAAACTGTTTACAAAGAATTTACAGTTACAACTAGCCAATTAAATTGTAAAACGATGAGGCCTTTTTGCAAGTCTAGTACTATGCTTAAATTCCTAGAGTCGTTCGTTAGAAAAATTACCATGAAAGTATATATAGAAAAGGCATAGTGGAGCGATATTACGGGAGTGCGAAAGTGACTGAACCTGAGATGCCAGGTCAGGGACAATAACATTGTTTACATTAAAAAATGAATGTTTTTATCTCTAAAATAAAAAGTCCGTTTGCATGTGACCTTTTTTTCTGCATATATACTTAGGTGTGTGCCAATGTATACGCGTCTGTACGTGTGTGAATATGTGAAGTTGAGATTGCCTGATTCTGAATGTCTGACACTAAGTGTGTGAATATCTACGATTTATGTTGCCCTTGGTGTCTGTGTGTTTCGTGAATTTATTTCTATGCTTATAGTTGTGTATATGCGTTGCTTTAAATAAATGCACTTAAAATGTGTTGCTCTCAGTCTTTTATATTGTGATCTTAGATGACTCGATTGGAGCAACGACCTTAGGTCTTTCTTACACGATCTTACACCAATGAATTCTGGCTTATCTGAGGCGTACTATCTAAAGTTGACAGTGAGTTACGCAGACAGTGCAATATACACAAACAAAAACAGAATACGGGCATAAAATTGCCCAAAACGAACATAGAAAACTGTAAAAAGAAATCAATAAAAATACACAAACTCGTCATTGTCGGTTGATTTTAATACGACTTGTATAAATCTGTGCACAAGATGTTTTCAAATATCTCCATTCCTGGAAGAAATACTACTACTATTTTAAGCCAAAATACATAACTATATGAATGTTAATATATTAAAAAAGGAAATGCTTACATTCTTAATCCCCAGTTATTTTATAAAAGCAATATGCAATATGTATTACATAAATTTATCCCATACTGAAATGATATCAGCACTCACTTAGGGGTTTAAATGAAACCGTCACTTCACTGGGGTGGGGCCAAATGATATCAAAACTTCACTAGGAGCGGGTAAATGATATCGACACTTCAATGGGTGTTTAAATCATATCGGCAGTTATCTCCTGTTAAACCCCTCTCCAAGTTCACCACCGCCATAAGCCGGTATTGAACTCAGACTCTTTAGGTCATGTCACTGAATCTAAGTAACGCCTTTATCCACTGGGCCATGTGTCCTGGAGGACAGCTGCTTATGAATTTCTGGCTATTATTAACCTAATGTCTTCAGCAACCGTTTTTTAACAGTGCTCAATTTTTGCTGTTAACATTGCTTTTTTCTTTTTTACCAGAGCTCATATTGCAATTTTTGTTGTTATTATAGCTTTTCTCTGGCACCTCTTATTGCTGGTTCTCATATTGCATTCATTTCTCTGCTTGGTCGGCTCAGGAGATTTATGTGGCCTAGCATATATGCTGATTCCTTAATTTTACGAACTATCCAATGATGTTCTTTGACTATAATCTCAACCTGATCCCACAGAGGGCGTTGATCTCCCTTTTCTCTCCATATGTGGTCAGCCACGCCTGATTTTTCCACTTACCCTCGTGTTACAGCTTTCTGGTGTTCTTGAAGCCTTACCTTAATGGGGTGGCCTGTCTCTCCTTCATATTTCTTTCCGCAGCTGCACGGAATAGCGTACACAGTCTTTCGTCATGTTTCCGTAATAATGTAAATAGTGTACGTAATACCTCATCTCAGAAATATAGACAGAAACATTACTTTTGTCTATAAAAACCTGTTCAATATTAGCTTTAATTTTATCTTTGTTCATATTGTCCTGTAACAGATATACGAGAATTATATCTGAATTTTTTACATATATATTTATATATGATAAGCAAATATAAATGGATATAAATCCGACAGAATGAAGAAAATATCTGGAAAAACAAAACAAAAATCCTTAAAATGCGATTATGTTGTTTTAATATGAATGAAATGTCGACGTCTGACGTTTCGGTTTAATAACCTTCTTCAGGACAATATTCATTAAAAATACAATTAACATAATCAGTATAACACGACGAAAACGATGGACATAAAGATTTTATTTTAAGGATTTTTGTTTTGTTTTTCCAGATATTTTCTTCATTCTGTCGGATTTATATCCATTTATTTTTATTATATATATATATATATATATATATATATATATATATATATATATATATATATATATATATATATATATATATATATATATATATATATATATATATACAAGAAAGAAAGAACAGTAAGATATATAATCCGGTGTTCTTATAGATATTTTTATTTTTTACAAAAGAGTGCTCAATGTAAATTTACAGAGCATTAATATTATAAATTAATTGATTTTCAAAAATGGAAGTTAAAAGCCACGAATTTAACTTTGCAATTAAATTAAAGACATTAGTTCCATTTTATCCTCAACCGAATTTTGGAGTAACTTTTAAAATTACTGGGTTTTAAAGACAGAGCTAAAATCACGTTTCCATGGTTACAGTACAGACATAAGAAAAAACCAGATACCCCTTGTCCAGTTGAAGTAGCTTCCATTTTTGAAACATGGTTAGAACTGTGTAGCGATAAAAACATATTTTAAATCAATTAATTAATAACATATATATATATATATATACATATACATATATATATATATATATATATATATATATATATATATATAATAAAGAATAAAGCAACATAAAACAAACACATATCAACAACAATTTCAATAAGCAACCAACATGATATACTTGATTCCATCAAATTTAAATTTCACCCGAGTTAATTGTTTTATTTAACCAGGTGCAACTTAACAATAAAGAAGACGAAAGGCTATAGTAAATGTAATTCACCGGTATATAAAAGTTATTGATCCTAAGAAATACTATAGATTTATCATTTAGTATTAAAACATTCTAATGTCTCATTTAATTCTTAGAAATAATTCACCACCTCAAAAATCTACTCGACCTGGGTATAACGATAAACTACATCAGCGTCCTGAGTAAAAAGATAAACTACGTACAACAGCAAGGCCTCTGATCAGGAGGTTTTGAGAAGCGTGGAACCACCTCTTAATTGCTGTTGTTCCCAGGTCCGCCCTGACCCGGGGTGGTAGCAACTCTTAGGCTCCCAGCTATTGCCTTGGTTTAATGTTCTTGGTCCTTTCTTTTTTTTTATTACCCATTTTTCCTCGGGTACCGATTTGTTCTACTGCAAGTTGAGCTATTCGAGGTTTTTCAAGTGAGTACCATTTATATATATATATATATATATATATATATATATATATATATATATATATATATATATATGTATAGTCATTTCATCCATAGCAAAGTGGTAATTCAACTAGTGCGCAGGAGTTTATAGTAAGTGAAAGTGAAAGTGAAAGAGACGAGTGAGAACAGGGATGATTTAGGAGAGGACAAAAGATGAACGGGATTCAAGAAGACAGAAAATAGCGATTGACGTTGCATTTAAACTTTTGAATATTGTAGTTATCATGGAAGCACGTAAATTGAAGGGTGAGAAGTGCGAGAAAAAACTGTTGGAGTAGAAATGGCAGTTGTATTTAGCTATTTCATCAGTAAAAGGGTGAGACCTAGTTGCCAATCTAGTACTGCGCTTACATTAATGTAGTCCAGGCAGAAGTGGAAAAATGACCTCGTCAGTGCAGTTTCCATGAAAATATTTGTAGAAAAGGCAGAGGGAAGCCAAGTCAGTGAGAGAGTGAC